TGGGAATATCGATCGATGCGGCTAGTCAAGCTTTACACGCGAGTTAATTTACACACACTATGGATTCCCTAGATCAAGAGATTGCCTTCTCTCTAGTAAAAATCCTAGCTTAATCAGGATGTATTCAAGATTATCAGAGTTATTTAAGGATGCTTAAACAACCTAACAATCTAGATTCAAATTTTTAGTTAGCAAGTCTATAACATAAGCAATAAGAACATCCTATTAATGAATACCACAACAAGCGATCTTATAGTTGGGGTTAAACCCACTAAACTATTTAAACCCTAATTCTAACAAGTGAACTACTCAGACATGGCTAAGCAATTCTTAACACAATCATGGTAAATAAACTGCACAATATAGATAGATAGGTAGAAAACAGTGAAGTTCCAATCAAAAATCTCTCTGTTGATCTTCTCTCCCAAACTATAAATCCTAAAACCTTTTGCTGTGAAAAGAATACAAAAAGCTCTCTCTGCCTCTAACACTTTGTCAGAGTATATAAACTTAGGTTAAAACTTGTCAGGGGTAAAATCGTCATTTGATGATGTTTGTACTTCAAGTTGGCTGTCTCGCGAATTGGTCTTCCGCGCTTTTGGCATTGATCAATCATGCTAGGTGCATGTGGATCGACGTGAGTCACTCCATGTCGACCTCGATCGTCTTGGTCGATTCCAAATCGAGTGATTTCTCCAATTCTTTCTAAAATGCTCCAAAAACATCATCTTCTTCCAAATTACTCCTGAACCTATAAATATGCTTAAAAGATTCAATAATATAATAAATAATAGTAAAAACACCTATATACCATGAATAAAAGTAGGTTAAATTATGGTATATCACTAATTCACGTTTTCGTATTATAGTGATTCCCACGTTCACTGCTGTCTTTGAGGCATGTTTGCTCAAATCCTCATTCGTTTTGCACATAGGACAAGAAGAAATGATGATATGTCTAATCAGATTTGCTAACATAGGGAGATTTAGAGGTATAAGCCTGCTTTAAACTATACTAATGTTTTTGTTCTTAAACTATACTAAATAAAAGGTATGCCGTTCTTTTAACTGATTTTGTTTTTGACAGGAGAACTCAAAATCTCCAATGCAAGTAACTTAGTAACTTCTAGAAACTTTAATAAAATAGATAATACTTAATGTTGTGGTAATTTGTTGATGTACTTGGTTGGTTTTCCTTTATTTACAGAACATTAACCCTGCAAACCATTTACATTGTTTACAGAAGAACAAACCAAATAGTTTTTATTATGATAATTACAATTCTATATTGAAAGAGCAAGAGACTTATTTGTATTTTGTAATCATTTATTTTGTTTTAGTCCCATGTACCTTTCGTCTTCCCATACTTTTAATGTTTGACTTATCTATATTGAATGAGTAGGAGACATTTCAAAGTTTAAACCATATATTTTGACATATCTATATGACTGAGCAAGACCAATTTCAAAATTTTAATAATTTACTCACAGTTTCCTTAAAGCTTTTGGCCCTTTGTGAAATCTATTTCATTGCTTTCCTTAAATCCTTATTACTCATCTTCTTCATTTTAAGATCCTACAAAAAAATTAGGAACGTTTTATAACATGAATAACAGTACCTCTATCAACTAATTTCAACTTTTCGTTATACAACTGTTTTACATTTTCACCAACAAAGTGAAACCAAATACTATTATTAACAATTTCGATTATACAAAAAGAACAAAAAAAAGAACTTGAAAAAAAGAGAAGATAATCGATTTATCTCAATCATTAAACACTTTTTGTTATACAACTATTTTACATTTTCACGAACAAAGTGAAACCAAATACTATTATTAACAATTTCGATTATACAGACAGAAAAAAAAACAAAGAACTTGAAATAAAGAGAAGATAATCGATTTATCTCAATCATTAAACACTAATGAATGACACAGAATTTCAAGGATAGATTATCTAAACGCTTACCTCTGCTCTTCTTTTATTGGTGATCTGCGCTTATATCTATTCTATTAAAACAGCAGTATGACCAATTGATAAAAGGTTGTGTCTAATTATTTATTTCTATATTTTTTAACAATATTCTCAAAAAATTTTATGCATACATTCGATGCTATCTTTTAGTAATGTTTTCTTTTTCCTTAATTATAGGAGCCACTTTTCAGAAAAAATTTTGTTAGACGGTTATGATTTAAAAAGTCATCCTTTTTTTTAGTCTTCGCATATTTGTATGACAAAAATATATTTATCCGAAATAAAATTATGTTGGACAGTTACCATACACTCTGATAATACAAATTACTATTTAAATATGTTACAAGCCATATAATACAGTTAAATTAGTCATTTAGTATAAGAAATCATATTATTCATGTTAACACGAACACTTTCAAACCATATAATACAGTTCAGCATCATCGTCGTATCTCTTCAAATAATTTCTTATAGATAAAACACAAGAAAAAAGAAATCAGCTATGACCGCAAAAAAAGGGATCAGTTACATTTTATGTATTGTTTGTTTATTTGCTTATTTGATTTTTTTTTGTTGGCGACTTAATTCCTATTTACCTAAATCATCATATTTGCATATAATTTTTTTATGATATTGACTTCCTAATACACAGTAAAATATATTTTAAATAATTAAAAATAATGCTCTAATACATTGTTTCACTTTTTATGATATTTATCTTTTATAACATATTTTTTTCATTCTCTTATATATCTTTTATATTAAATTAGGAACATGACCTATTAATATATTTTTGGTCCAACTATTTTAATAGTATTGATTAAAAAATCTTATTAATTATTTAAAAAAAGATTTACATAAATATGATTACAAAAAACATAAATATGATTATGAATACAAATATGAAAATTAAATTTCTAAATAAAAATGTAAAACAAAAAATATATCCGTTTTTTCGAAAGGTGGGTCAATATCTATTTTTTTATCAATGCAATAAATCAAAATTTTGAGTATATAGGTTGTATTTAATCGGATCCGAGACGTAGACTTACAGGTAGATGTCACATTATTTTTTGAGTACGAATATTATTAATTACGTTAATCAATCAAAATGCTAAAAATACAAAAATATCCTGATTTTATTAAAACTTGATTACATATTTCATCATCAAAATTATTTCTATTAATATGTCAAACATATTATATAATCTGCATAGGTATAATGCTTTCTTTGTAATACTTAAATGTAATAATAAAAATAAATTATATCAAATAAATTTAACGTAGTTCGGAAATAAATCTGCAATTTGAAACCACATATCCAAATTTAGAATACGATTACAAAGAAACGTGCATATGAGCATATGGTTACAAATATCCGAGCGTATGTTGGGCCAATTTTTAAATTGCTATTATTTTTAAAAAATAGATTTTGATTAATATTTATACGTAAATATGATTTTAAATAAAAGCACAAATAGGATTAAAAACATAAATATGAAAATTAAATTTTAAAAAATAAACAAAAAATATACCCACCCTTTTAAGGGCGGGTCAAAATCTAGTAGTTATATATAAAGTTTCACTTGCACTTATTTTTGAGAAACTCTTTCTTGGACAAGCAAATCGACCACTAAAGATTCTGCATGTGCGGATCTAGAAAAGAATAACAGTATTGAGCCAGAGGAAGAAAACAAACAATACTTTTGTGTCGATTTTCGATTTGCGACCTCCGATTAGTTAGTCTCCAGGTAATCGTTTCGATATTTCAAAGCGCAATGATCATAAACCTTCAAATACAAGAGCTCTCTAGCTTCAATTGTCGGTTTCTCCATAGAAAATTGTTGATTCCTCAAAGAAATTTGAGCCAAATTTTTTTTTTTTTAACTTTCCCATTTCTGGTTTTTTTTTTGTAAAAGTGAATGGTCACAATAGACACATATTTTTGTCAATTGGCCATTTGAGCCGAGTTAAGTAATTTAGGCTGACAAAACGAAAGCCAATTTAAAGTTTTTTCTGTTTATGAACGAATATATAATAAGTTTTTTTTGAACAAATATAATAATAATAATAATAATAATAATAATAATAATAATAATAATAATAATAATAATAATAATAATAATAATAAGTTCACATTAAACCCATAGCATTCGAATTGTTTTTAGTTAGATTAAATATTTTTAATATAATGTTTTATTAATAAGTTAAAATTGTAAATTAAAAACTTTTGCACATTTAACCTCTCCATAATTAAAGTTATTGATTAGAAGTATACAATTTTTTTAATCGTTTCACAAAATCAATTATTCTTTTGTAAACATAAACAATCACTTCAACAAATAATAAGATGAAACCTTACAATTATAGTGTGCTATAAACAAACATAAAATGTATGAAAAGTACATTTTATAAATTTTAAAAGGAATTCTAAGAGTAAAATGATTCCGCGCTTTGAAAGTGCGGGTCAAAATCATAGTCTAATTATTAAAACAGAAGTCACGGCTGTGATTTTTTGACCATCTTTAAAAATATTAGTAATGTTTACATAACTTAGTTATAATATACTTTAAAACCTTCATTTTATTTTTAATACAAATATTCCTTAAGGAAATTATAACAAAATCTTTTTTTGGGGACAACATTATAACAAAATCTTCATAAAATCTTGTTAAAAAGATTTCCCAAAATTGGGTAATTTTAATTATGATAAATATACTTAGAAATTAAAATTTAGTTTTCATCTCTAAATAAAAAGGTAAAATTATATAAAATATATTATATTTTACTGATATCAAAAGAGAAATTACTTGGAATGACTCCAATCATACTAGAAAATACTACAATAACTCATATAAATTTGTAATTATTAGAATGATTCAAGGACTTGACAAATTTACTAAAAAACCAGCTTTCAGAAAATTAACCCACAAATTTGTATATATTAAAATATAAGTAAATATAATGAAAGGTAAATCCTAAAAAAAAAAGAAATAATTAGGCAAAAGGAAGTTGAGTTTTTTTGTCGGGTCTTTCTCTTCAACCCTATATGACATCGACTCTTATTCACAGTCGTCTTCTTTGTCTCCATCTCTGGCGACTCCATTCTCAGAAACAGCCGCCGCCTCGTTTCTCCAAGTCAGCGCCGCTCCTTTGATTCACGAGAACCCTAGCTCTGATTTGGGGTTGTTTTGGGATCGTCAAAATTGGGATTGTAAGTGCTAATTCTATTCAAAAGTGAGTTGTTCTTACACGATTTTAACATATATTGCATGATTGATTGATGAACTTCGAAAACCCTAATTTCCAATTTCATCTCCTTCGACTTAAAATCCGAGAAACTGGTTATGTTTTTTTCGCAAGTAAGGTTACGGTATAGGGTTTGATTATTGTTTACTTGAATGTTTATGTTTGTCACTCTGATTCCTAATTCCAGAATCACCTTCGACAATGAACTCGAATTTTAGTTTCTGTTTTTGTTTAAGTTTATGTATGTTTATGTTTTTCTTCGTAACTTAAACTTTATATTTCTGTAGAACCACTAGTTAAGTTTGTTCTGTTTTTTTTTCATGTTTTGGTTATTTGTTTTAATCTAATTATTGTTGATTGTGCTTTGTTTTTGCAGGTATGGCGTCATCTTCGGGTACTAGAAAATATCCTCCTCGTTGTGAGTAGAAAACATTGTGTAACTTTCACAAGGTGTGTCTTTGTGAATGTTGTTATGGTTTGAAAATGGAGTGCAGGTACAGAAGCTAAGTAGAGTAGATTCTGATTTCTCTGGTTTTCTTCATCATGCTGGGATACCATCTATAGACATGTACTATGTTGCAGATATACCCCAACATTCAAGAATGTGATTATTAATTCATGTCTAAGTGAGTTTTTTTTTTCAGATTATCCTGTGTACCACACAGCTTTTGACTCCTATGAGTGAATGATCGGCAATGCAGATCTGTTGTTTCATCATCATGTTGCCAGTAAAGCTTTGTTTTCTTCCTTAATTTTCTAATTTTCATGGCTTCTTGCAGAGGATGTGACTATTGTATGCATTTTATATATTTCTCAGTGGCTGGAATTTGGGGACTTTAAGGAATTATATTGGCTGATGAGCCAGTCATACCGTTTGATTACATCTCTTATGTTGAACAGTTGCAGGTATATTTCTTCTACTCACTCCCTTTATAAATAAGATGAAAAGAAAACTTATTTCTATGTTTTGGGTGTTATGGTTTAGGTACATAGAGATGCATTGAGCAAGCGCTTACAAGGGAAAGACTCTGTTGATCCCTTGAGCATGGCGACACAAGAGTTCGCTTTTACTGTTAAAGAAGCCACAGATGAAACAAACATTTTAAAGGGCTTTTACTGATTGATTTATATATTACACATATTCACGTCTTGGTGATTGATTGGTTCTGTAGAAGTTAAATGAACAAGCATACAGCAAAAATGATGTTGCAGCAGCTGCCAAAGAGAAGAGAGCTAAATGATAGGATGATGCTTGTAGAAAGATGGTTTTTGGCTTCAGAAGGGATAAAATGGAAAGAATGGTTCAAGCATCTTGTGAGTTAACTTAAACAAAACATGATTTCACCAATCTTTTCAAACTCTTATGTGAGCTTGTGTTTGCTTGTATATGTAAAGGTGTATGGACCTGCAGCTGAACCAGAGAGCAAACTAGGTTTCTTTCCGGGGATAGCAGATGCTGTTGCAACACACTCATCAGAGGGAACGATCCAGCATGAGATATGGAGAGTTGCAAGAGTGATTCAGAGAACAAGCAAAGCTCCTTTGGGCTCAAATGAGAAAACAAAAATAGTAAACACTTGTGTTTGTATATGTCTTGTGTGACTTTAGATTATAGAAGCATAACCATCTGACCTTATGATGTAACCAAACTAGTTGTGTAGTATTCAACACACATCAAAGAATTCTTGACGCTGTGGATGACAACAGGGATTGCTCTGTATATACAGAATAACAAAAGACTGAAGAATCAATCAGATATGAAGGTAGAGAATCAAGCAGATATGGCATCAAGTGAGGTTGGTTCACATTGACAATCAGATTAATCAGATGCATCCATATTTCAATCCTATAAACCCTCAAGATTCACCGAGATCAGTTTAAGCACTTGTTCTTCATACCATGAAACAAAATAAGAAGCTTGTAAGTCAAGCTTCACTGATTAGTAAGATATGCATGCATCCCCATTATGGTCACATATGAAATGTATATGCAACTTTGCAAAGAGCCAATAATACATGAAACTGACCTATTGACTATTGTTTCCTATTTTCACATGTGATGTATCCATGCTTTGATTGTGTAGATTCCACTTCGGAAAAGGTACCTCAGTTCCAAGTTGTTTTCTGGAAAATCAACTTCGTAATCTTCAAATATGATTTTCCCAAAATTTTCAAATTGAGTGTCCTCATTCGCAGCAACTAATATGTTACCTCACTCATTATCTACTTCAAATAACCACTAACTTTTTTCAACTTTCCATTTCCTAGAGATGAGAATTATGTGTTCCATTATCCTCCGATCAATATGAATCAAAAGACACCGTCGTAAATCACCATCAAACTGCAACACGTGTTCTTGTGTGAGAGGCAACAGGAAGAATACGACAAAGAAATGGTAAACCCTACTTGTTTAATGTGGTCTAATGGTACTTAACTTTAACCAGCTTTAAATTTGTTAAACCGAAAGATTAAATTGATTTAAACCAAATTTAAAAATTAATCAAAATTAAAAATAATCTAAACCGGAAACTAATACAAAGTAACCAAAATCTAAGAAAAAGTAACAAGAAATTCGATTGTATATGTCTGGTACAATAAGTGAAGCCCACTCTAATAGTTAAAATTAATTTTACAAGTCTGCCATGAAAGATGAAAATTTCAAAAGTCTCCCACCAAATGAATACATGTCGACTACAAATATAAATCGGTTAAACATATCTTTCTGGCAAATTTTTGTCTAGTATCCATTAAAAGTCGGCTGTACGTAATATTAAATCGGTCATAACAATCTAACCGATCCGAAATAAAACTGATTTAAAAAAAAAAATCTGTTACTTCATTCGACAGAGTAAAACATCTAAATATGTCAGCAACCTTAAATCAGCCAGACAAATCAGCCGTCTCAAAAATATCTGCTATGAATCAAAAGTCTGCCACCAAGTACATTGCAGATTTAAATTTCACAACAGTTTTATTTACCGATAGATTTGTTTTTTTCGTAAACAAATCTGCCGACGGTTATTTTTCAAATATTTAAATGGCACTTTTGTAATATTAAATTTTAGACACAATTTTAAGTAAGGGCACTTTTGACAATAAAAAAAGTTAGTAATTTTAAAGTTTTATGAGTTATTCTAGTAATTACTAAATTAATTTGAGTCATTTTAGTAAACTTCCATTTTTTCTTAATTAATCAATGTAAATTTTTTTAAGGGAAGTTTACTAAAATGACACACATTAGTTGTGTTATTACTAGAATAACCCATCTTTTTAAAAAATTATTAAAATATTTTTTATGTCGAAATTGTCCTTGTCTATAGTTATAAAAAAATTATTACTAAAGTACCCTTAATATTTGATCGACGGCAGATTTATTTTCAAAAAAATAAATCTGTTGAATAATAAATCTATTTATAAAATCTGTAAAGAAAAAAAATCTACCATTCAAGTGATGACAAACTTTTTTTAAAATGTCAGATTTATTTATGTGGCAGAGTTAATCGTCCGATTGAAATAGAAAATAGATTTTTAAGAATATGTATGTCGAACGAGGTGACAGATTTATTATAGTTGGTAAATTTTTGTGGTCGACTTATTTTCTTATGTACCGACTTATTTTCTTATGTTTGACTTATTTTTTTACGGCAGGGTTATACATCCGACTTAAAATTGTTGGTATATTTTTTGTTTATGTGGTAGCAGATTTTTATTTTATGCTGTGACAGATTTATTAACGAAATCTGAGTTTATATAAACCAAACTTAATTTAATGTTTAATTTTGACTTAGTTTGCATTAATTTTGAATCTGTTTTATTTTTAAAATAATTAAGATCAGAATTAGATAAACTAGATGCATAGTCCCCGTGCAAGCGCGGGGTTGGATACGTTGTTGATGTGTTGTGTAGTTTTGTGTATGAGACTTTGCTGTTTTTTTCTTAACATTTGTTTATCTGGCTTATCTATAACGGTGGTAAATGAAACATTAGAAGTCACACAACTTGATTAGTCTGATAAAAGAATAAACATCGAATTCATATGGGTTGATATTTTCATATTTTATCTTCGTAGTGATTTTCTCGAGCATTCCCTTTATTAGTGATTTTATCGAGCATTACTGTTATTAGGGCTTTCATGTAAAAAATAATTTAATGGAGACAAGACAAAAAGGACATGTGTTTATTAGTGTAATTTTCTTTCTGAAATTATGTTGTATATATATATATATATATATTTTTTTTTAATTGTGATGTATATAAGATTTATGGTCAATCTGAATGGTTCGGGGTAAATATTTATTATTGAAAAATATGTTTTTATTTTATTTGATGATTATATCTGAATTGAAATGATATTGGAGGTTAGAACATGATAACCTTTCTTATAAAAGTATCTAAGATGGTCTCATAAAATTTCAAATCCTTAAGCCATTTTGTATCTCAACAACCAACATAAAAAAATCATTCTGAACCTCCCTAAGCTTTTAGGTATCCCGAAAAGCCTAAATTTAAAAAAAAAATTACATGCAAGCACTGCATTTCGAACCCGTGCACTCACGGTACCAACTTCTTGTCACCAACTTACACCACTGGACCATTTTATCACTCATCGATAACATTTAATCTTACAAAATGTTATACGTTTTTGTTTTACCTAATAACACGTGCGGGGCCCACAAACTTACTGACCTGGACACGCTGAGGAGTTTCAAAAGTGTACTATTATTATATAGATTTTTGGTAACTGTCATCATCTTTTTCATCCCTCTTTTCTTCCTTATCATGATGTCTTTTTATGTTGGTTTAATCACTGAGACATGATCTTCACGACTTGTTAGATGTGAGAATTAACAACCTTAATGGTTCGTACCGTTCTTCTGGTTCACCAACCCATTGAGATGAGTTGAGAAAAAAAACCAAATTAAGTCAAATCCCAAGAGTTGTTTTGGTTCATATTCTTCTCTTTCTGTTGGACGAAAGAATCGTTCTCAGTTTATGGAAGTAGCCAAATACAAATACAAAGGAACAACTATATTCTTTACCAGTGTAGAAAATAAATTAGTGTGACAACAACTTCAAAATAAAACATGTTTATTTATGAAACATGGAACTACAGATTTATATATAGCTTATAAATAAACTCTACTCTGTTCCCAAAAAAAAAAAAAAAAATCTATTCAAAGTCTCAAGTCATCACGTCCTCCATTATTGCCAGCTCACATCATAACTCACGCAACACTTCTCAGTGAGATCACTTGTGTACTCATAGATCCATGTTAATGCAATTGAACACATATATGTACAAAATACATCTCCAATGCATCTTAAAATGAATTAAACAATCTAAAATCAAATGCTAAAAATCATTAGATATAATAACACATATAAATATGTGTACATGTAGTCTCATATACACAATCAGTAGTTTGGCTTGATCTATTTTTTTTTATTTTTTTGACATTTTAAATAATCAACCAAAAATCCACCTATATGTACACCATTGCGACATATTATTATTGACTTTTGATGTACATGTGTACATGACATGGGATGACAACAAAAAATTGTACACAAACATGCAATAATCTTTTTACATGAAAGTAAGCTCACATATTGAACTAAGCCAATAAAAAAGGTTTGTAGAATAATATTTCACAGACACATGGGATTATGCACTGAAAGCTACATTTGAAAGATTTCCATGCTATTTACATATCACACAATCAAAGATATTTGTCCACACATGGTTGGAAATTTATTAAACACATCTAAAGGTATTCGTATGTTTGGCATATATACTATTAAATGATGGGCTAAAGATTACACAGCCTTTCAATAACAAAAGCATGGACAAACTTCCATGAACATAGCTTCATGGAAAATATTTCTTGATTTTTGGTCAGTGGTTAGATGTCCAATATATATCATTATATATCATAATCTTATATGTCCAAAAAACCAAGTTGTGCTGTGATGTATGTGGATACATGTCATAAATATGTGCACATCGTAAGTGTGCATGTGTACTGTCTACATTGATATTTTCTGGAGTACATGTATACAAAAAATAGGGTAGCATAAATGTGTACAACATTGGAAAATTATGTTGATGTTTCACAAATGAGACGTGTACACATAAATTTTCTTAACCACATGTACATTGTACATCATTCCACAAACATCCACATGTACAATTGATTAGTGAAACCTAAAGCGCAAGAATACAATAGACTGTCGTGAGTGAGTCGTACATCTTGATTTAGAAGTCATTAGTGCATATATATACATGTTAAATTGTATTAAAAGGGGTTGGAGTGCGCAATAAATAATTTTGAACAAATTGATGTGGGTTTTATTGTATGCACTTCAAATTAACCCTATTAGCTACTCTCTCAAATAAAAGGTTAAGTGTAATACTTAGAGATAGAAACCACAAACACTCTAGGATTACACTATAGATTTGTTGTTTTCGAGTTAAAGCTAGGCGATTGAGTTGTAATAGCAAGAATGAAATCATGATTGAATTGGATTATTAAGATTGATTGGAAGGATTAGGCTTAGGGGAAATTATCAGGCAAGCTAAGCTATGTTTTGAAAGATTGCTAGGGTTTTAATTAGGCACTGTTCTCGAACTCAAACACTATGGATAAAGGAACTGATTCCGCAGACTCCAACTAAGTATCGATCAGCACACAAGGTGTGTTATCGATAG